GGGAGTCACAGACTCTGAAACAGGCTCCAGGCTTCGAGCTGGCAGTCAGCACAGATCCCGACGTGGGGCTCGAACCCACGAACTGTGAGATCATGACCTAAGCGAAAGTCGGACGCTTAACCGACTAAGCCACCCAGGCGCCCCAAGGTTTTCTTTTTCTTTTCCTGTATCCCCATGGACTGCACCTTGAGAGCCTCTGACATGCAGAACACAGTCAATACAGGGGCCCTGGCCTTGATCATGTCATTTCCTGCAGGGTCTCCAGGGCTTACAAGTCACTTATCCTTAAACGGTTAAGATGAGATATTTTAGAAAGCAATTATTATTATGAGAAAGACATAAATAAACAAGGAAAATGAGAGATAAAGCGAGAGAACATTCTAGAAGCCAGATCATATGTTCACTTCGGCTTGGGTGTCTAAAAAAAAATCTGTATTAAAACCCTGTGCAACAGAATTGGTTTCTTCATTTATAAAATGATATTTAGCTTCTTGCACAAAGATGGAGATATAACATATTTAAATGACCTAATAAATACCTGGCATTGGGTGCATGAGAAATGTTAGTTCTGTTATTTGTTTCCTCTTCTTAAAATAGGATTTTAGCTGTGTTATTTGTCGCAAAAAGGAGGTAGCGGGAGCAGTTCACCATCAGGACTGTGAAGTCCCCAAGGGTGTCGGGTAACAGATTAGCATGGGAGAGTCATGGCCTTGGGTGGGTCACCTCCTTTTCTGAGGGGTGGTGTCCTCCTGAGAGAGAGGTACCAAGGCCATCTGAACATTAAGGCTGCTGCAGGCCCGCGCGGATGGGCTAGGTCACTTCCTTGCCTCTCTCCTGGGTCCACGAGGCTTTGCGGGCAGACTGTGTGATGCACTGTTGCGTTGCTAGTACCTGTCAGACGCACAGCGTGCAGTAGGTGCTCAAAAGTGTTTGCTGCACGAGAGCTCCGATCAGACACTTATGTAAAAGGAAGCCTATTACTGCTTCTGCTTGGTGACATCTATTTCTGCAACTGCAGAGATCTTTTTATGTATATGCCTCCATTTAGGGCTTTGCTTTAAAAGCATCTTGTTCGTGGCAATCTGACCTCTGGATAAATATGGCGGTGCTGTACTAATTTTCCCATACTTTAGTGGTTTAAAGGCTGTGTGTTTCTTTAATGAGATAGCTTTTTAAAGGAGTCATAAATTGGGTCTAACTGATTTAGTGCATCTTTTACATTTGTAATTGAATTTCCAAGTGTAGTACTGATGAAAATGGACTCTACCTTGTGCCCCAAAGCACTGACTTTTGACATTATAAATCGGTTGACTTAGTAGTTTAACATAAGCAGTGGTCTCTAACTGTTGTGACAAAAGGCATCTACTTCTAAACACATGTCAGGAAAATAATCAATTGGGTGGCTCTGAAATTCTGGCTTCTTCCTCTCTTATTAAAAAAAAGAGAATTAGAGAACATGGCTAAATGTCACATTTCTTAGAAGTATTTTCAAACCACACGACTTACTAGAATCCAATAATAAAATCACTGAGCGCTTTAAAAAAAAATTACAAGGAGAGTGGAAAGGTGATTTCATTGCCAAAGCTGCCAGACCAAGAAGAGATTGTTGAAAAATTAAACTGAAATCTTAGTATCTGTATCTTAAAAAAAAATTCCTCTTTGATAGAGACATCGCTGTTTTCTAAGAACACAGGTTCTAGAGTCTAATATTGCTATGCAACTCTTTGTTGTAATAGGCAAAAATACAAACGTTTGCACGAGATGTTCAAAATAATAGAGATTCTGGGACCTGCTAAGAATTAATTAGGAAGTAAATTTATTACCTACATAAATAAATGAACAAACCTGAGCACGTTCCATGTCGACATCAAGGGGTTATATACTTTCCATTAAAGACGACTCATAAATACAGTTTAAAGGCTCGAGGGAGGAGAGAGGGGAGAAGGCTGGCTCACACCAGCTCAGGCGGTGCCAGACATCAGCTGACCGACTTCATTGAGATTACCATGGAAACACCTTCTCCTGGGACGCTGCCATGAGGGTAGGGTGCTTTAGCAACGGTGCTGGGGAGCAGAGCCCACAGTGATGGATTTCAGCAGGGCTCACCCCTGTACACACTATAAGGATGATCCATCTTCCAAATGAAATGATAGCTTTCGAGCGAGTCACCATCAGATAGAGTAATAAAGCATGAAGCCCGGCATAATTACAACCCATTTACCTCTACAAAACACTCACATCAGTTCTGATAATTGTCTTTCTTCTCTCCCCTGCTTGCCTGTATTCTCCACAGAACTAAAGGAGGTATTTGTGTAATTAATTGGCTACTTCCTTGGCCATCAAGCTCTCACTGATAAAAAAGGGCCTATATCAAACAGCTTTAGTGGGCAGGTTCAAACATTCTTCAAAATGAACACAGCTCACCAACAACAGGATAAGAGGAGCCCAGCCGAGGTTGGGTTCAATGTTTTAGTTTATGTGGTCTCACTTGAAACCAGTGAACAGATTTTATGTTTACGTAAATTAAACTCGATCTTGGCAACCAGCTCCCTGAGTGCTGGCTGGGGGAGCCCATGTCCCCGTGAACTCACACGGTACAAGCTCGTTGATTCAGGGGATTCACTTCAGCCAGGGGGTGCAATCTTTTCCACCCATTTATAGTGATCTCGAGATGATTCTCAGAGTTAAAGACACTGTGATCAAAGTTCTGTACACAACGGTACTAATGATGCAGGTTACTTCTCGACTGTTTTCTGTATCAAGCCCAGGAACCAGGAGTCTCCCAGCTTTGCAAAACATTCAAATTCTGACCCTCCTTTCCTCGTAAAAATTTTATTAACCTTTCTTGACATTGGAAATAATGCTTTAATTCACTATTACAACTTACAAATACAGCGTAGAGAGTGACTCAAGGCGGATGATGCTAATCTGACAGTAACACAGAAGCCAGCTGGCTGAAATCCTATCCCAACTCTACACGATTTGTACAAAGAAAGCCACTCTGTGGCTAAGACAGGGGTCACTTGTAACTTGAATGTTTCATTCTCAGACTGCTGTTTATAATTACTTGACTGTGCCATCTGTGAGAACAGTGTTTACTGAAAACAGTCTCAAAAACCTGTCATGATTTCCTATTTTTATATTTCTTTTTTTTTTTTTAATATTTTTATTTATTTCTAGGAGACAGAGAGAGAGAGACAGCATGAGCAGGGGAGGGTCAGAGAGAGAGGGAGATACAGACTGTGAAATAGGCTCCAGGCTCTGAGCTGGCAGTCAGCACAGAGCCTGACGTGGGGCTCGAACCCACGAACCGCGAGATCATGACCCAAGTGAAAGTCGGACGCTCAACTGACTAAGCCACCCAGGCGCCCCTATTTTTTTATATTTTTTACGATGAGTGACTGGAATCATTGCTAAGTGATAGGCTGGCTGGATCATTTCTACTAATGAAAGAGAAAAAAGGTGTCAAACTTATATTTTAATTATATTTTGTTTAGGCTTACATAAAGATCAGTCTTTCTCTCTTGAACACAAACCAATTGATGACAGAGCCTGGAGAGGTGATTCCTGGAGAGATTAGCTGAGACCCTAGCATACGATGAGCTACCTAGTTTAGGGTAAGAAAAAAATACATGACCCTACCACATGACTGTTAGAATGGGTAGGATTTAAACTGACAATGGCAAATACTGGTGAAGACGCAAAGCAATGGGAACTCTCATTCACTGCTGGTAGGAATGCAAAATGGTACAGCTACTTTGGGAGACAATTTGGCAGTTCACATAAAGCCAGACTTAGTCTTGATGCATGATATTGCAACTGCACTTGTAAGTATTTACCCAAATAATCTGAAGACTTGTGTCCGTACAAAAACCTGCATATGAACGTTTATAGCAGCTTTATTCATAATGGCCCCAAACTGGAAGCAACCAAGACGTCCTTCAATAGGCAGATGGATGAACAAACTGCAGCACATCCACATGCTGGAATATTATTTGGTAATAAAAAGAAATGAGCTGTCAAGCCATGGGAAGAGATGGAGGCATCTCAGGTACCTATTGCTAACTCAAAGAGGCCAACCTTAAAAGGTTACAAAGTGTATGATTCCAATTATGTGATATTCTAGAAAAGGCACAACGCGTGCAGAGACAGTAAAATGATTGGAGGTTGCCAAGGTTTGTGGGAGAGAGCTACAAGTTGTAGAAATAAATAAGAAATATCAAGCTTTCCCTCCCTGGCTGCCTGATGATTGACTGCCATTATGAACAACATAGTTTCTATCCGAGCCAGGAAGTTCACACCCAAGTGACTACTTTAGCAGAAACAAATGGCCATCTATGTCCTTCAACCCAGAAAGGCAACAGAAACTAAGACAGAAATTTGGGAAAAACTGGCCAAAACATACAAGACCACATCAGATGTCATCTTTGTATTTGGATTCAGGACGCATTTTGGTGGTGGTAAGACAAATGACTTTGGCACAATTTAGGATTCCTCGGATTACAGAAGGAAGATGAACCCAAACACAGACTTGCAAGACAATGCCTACCGTAGTCACCTACGGGGACGGTGCAGGCTTTTCATGAGGGGATTAATAAGCTGTAAAAACTTAAACAACAACAACAAAAAATGAAGAACAAAGTATTAGAAGAATCTGGTTATGAAAATAGACTGGGAAAAGAAACTGAAAATAACAGGTGTTGTTATATAATGGGCAGCCTTTCAGTATGTAATTTTGTTATGGTTTATTGATCTTTATTTTTATGCTAAATTCTCGTCATTCAGAGGAGAACACTGGGTATCTATTCTACAAGCAGTCAGAAACTTAGACCACAGTGGGGAAAACATAATACTCGTATGGCTACATATTCCAAAGATAATCACGAAGCAGGGTTAGCTGGATGTATGCCACTTCTGTTGAGATGCAAGGTATGATCTCAAGAAGGGGGAAGCATACTGTGCAAATAAAATTAATACCTGATTTAACTTCTGGTGTACAGGAACTACAGGGATGAGGAGAATAAATTAAATGAACCATGAGGAAACAGACAAATCCAGATGAGACCAGTTCTAGACTCTAAAAAGTTCATGTCATGCAGACTGTGTGCCGGCGGGGATGTGGAGAAACCAGACCTCTCATATATGGAAGAGAAGGTAAAATGGAGCAGCCATGTTGGAAAAGTCTGGTAGTTTCCTATAGAAGGCCATATGATAAGAATAATTCCACTCCTAGATAACCACCCAGGAGAAATAAAAGCATATACTCACATAAAGACTTGTATACAAATGTACCTAGAAGCCAAATGTCCATGATGTGGTACACAGAGAAATGAAATATGGTATATTCATTCAGTAGAATGTTGTATGATTCCAGGTATATGAAATTTCTAGAAAAGGTAAAAGGATAGGCTGAAGTTGGGAGTGGGGATTTACTGCAAATGGGCACAAGAGAACACTCTGAGGTGATAGAAATGTTCCAAAACTTGACTGTGTGAAGTTTGTACAAAAGCGTAAATTTACTAAAAGTAACTGAACTGTACCTTACAATGGGTGAGTTTTATGTAAGTAAATGTATGAGTTTGCTACAGCCATACAAAGCCCCACAGAACAGATGGCTTAAGTAAGTTCTGGAGGTTTGAAGTCCAAGGTCAAGGTGTGGAAGGGCGTGGTTCTTCTGAGACCTCTCTCTTCCACTTGTGGATGGCCGTCTTCTCTGTCTGTCTTCACAGGGTTTCCCTCAGTACCTGCCTGTGTTCCAACTGCCTCTTCTTACAAGGGTACTGGTCATACAGGATCAGAGCCCACCCCAATGACCTCATTTTAACCTAATTACTTCTGTGAAGATCCTATCTGCAAACACAGCCACATTCTGAGGACTAGGGGTTAGGACCTCAACCAATGAATTTGGGGGAAGCACCATTCAGTCCATTACAGTAAACTATAATTTAATAACGCTTTTTAAGAAGTCAACGTCACAAGGGGTGCCTGGGTGGCTTAGTTGGTTAAGCATCCAACTTTGGCTCCTGTCATGATCTCATGGCTCTTGAGTTCAAACCCTTTGTCAGGATCTGTGCTGCCAGCTCAGAGCCTGGAGCCTGCTTTGGATTCTGTCTCCCTCTCTCTCTGCCTCTCCCCTGCTCATGCTTTGTCTTTCCTTCAAAAATAAATAAACGTTAAAAAAATTAGGGGCACCTGGGTGTCTCAGTCAGTCGAGCATCTGACTTTGCTCAATGAGCGACTTTCCCGTGTCAGGCTCTGTGCTGACAGCTTGGAGCCTGGAACCTGCTTCAGATTCTGGGTCTCCTTCTCTCCCTCTGCCCCTCCACCGCTCATACTCTGTCTCTTTCCTTCTTAAAAATAAATAAAAACATGGGGCGCCGGGGTGGCTCAGTCGGTCCAGCGTCCGACTTCGGCTCAGGTCATGATCTCACAGTCAGGCTCTGTGCTGACAGCTCAGAGCCTGGAGCCTGCTTCTGATTCTGTGTGTCCCTCTCTTTCTGACCCTCCCCTGCTCATGATCTGTCTCTCTTCGTCTCTCAAAAATGAATAAATGTTAAAAAAATTAAAATAAATAAATACAAACATTAAAAAATAAACAAATAAATACAAAGTCAACATCATGAAAAATAGACTGTGTAGGTACAGTTCTGGACTAAAAGACATGTATCTCTATAACAGAAACCTATTTTTAAAAATAGGTATAAGACATTCTTTGAATGAGTAAAGAAATTTGACTAAGTGCTAGATACTAAGTGACATCAGGGAAATGTTTTTTTCTCAGATATGAAAATGGGATTGTGGTTACGAAGGAGAAGGTCCCTGTTCTCAGAGGCATATGCACATAGGAGCATTTTAGTGGCAAAGTGTCATGAAAGAGAGAGCAAACAAATATAGCAAAAAAAAAAAAAACCAAAAAACCTTATTGACTCTAGGTGGAGGGCATAAGGGCATTTATTCCCTGTACAATTCTTCCAACTTCTCGATATATTAAAAAAATTTTATAATAAAGAGTCAGAAGGATAGAATTGGCAGTGAACACTGAGGATCTCAGGGACAGTAAAGACACCTCCCAAAATTTCCTTTATTCGTTTCCTTCCTTGCTAATTGAAGTAGGAAATGTTTCCTTCTATGAAGCTCACACCCAGTTACAGCTTTTATAAGTGAGAAATGGTTAGTGTTTCTACTGTTCCTGCCATACAAAATCTAGAATGAAACATAATGTAGATTTTGGAAGTTGTAAAGTCTGGCATGGAAGAGGCCAAGACACATTGAGTGTAGTTCATTTAAAATAACAAATGACAACAGGGTGCCTGGGTGGCTCAGTCGGTTAAGCGTCTGACTCTGGATTTTGGCTCAGGTCATGAGCTTGTTTGTGGGAGTCCCGCACAGGCTGTGTGCTGACAGGGTAGAGGCTGCTTGGGATCCTCGCTCCCTCTCTCTGCCCCTTCCTTGCTCTCTGTCTCTCTCAAAATAATAAATAAACTTAAAAAAACCCAAATGACAAGAAAAGATCCTTTTTTAAAAATGTTTATTTATTTATTTATTTATTTTTACAAATAGTTTATTGTCAAATTAGTTTCCACATAACACTCAGTGCTCATCCCCAAAGTGCCCTCCTCCATGCCCATCCCCCCCTCCCCCCACATCCATCAGTCCTCAGTTTTTGTCAGCATTCAAGAGTCTCTCATGGTTTGCCTCTCTCCCTTTCCCCCACCATTTCCGCCCTTCTTCTCCCCCTTGTTCCTCCGTCAAGTTCCTCCTAATCCTCCTTTATTTTTGAGAGAGAGAGTGTGTGGGGCAGGGGCACAGAGAGAGACACACACACAGAATCCAAAGCAGGCTCCAGGTTCTGAGCTGTCAGCACAGAGCCCGATGCAGGGCCCAAACCCACAAACTGTGAGATCATGACCTGCACCAAAGTCAGATGCTTACCTGACTGAGCCACCCAAGCGCCCCAAAGATCTTTTTTTAAATATGAGTAGCAAACCAGTGACCTATGGGCTGAATATGGCCAACAGATGTGTTTTATTTGGCTTGCAAAGCATTTAACAATCAGGAGATTTACACAAAATACAGACTTCAGCTTTCTTTAAGGGAATCCAAAGACCTGGCAGGGTGGGCTCTGGCATGGCCATAGTGATTACAGTGGGGTGAGGCCTGCCCCACGTACAGTATGGGCTTCATTCATTTCTGAACCTGCCAGACTCCCAAAGGAATTTGACATTAAGACAAAGAAAATGAGTAAATGCTGTCACTTCTGATGAGATCTGCTTTATCAGCATCCTCTGCTCTCTTTCCATTTATATGGCTGTAGCTAGCGAGAACAGTTGGGAGGGAGGTGAAATGGAAGGGGAGGGATTTGGAAAGTAATGAGTGGCACTAGGCCAACTGTTTATATATGGGGGGGGGGACATGAAGGCAGGGCTACAGCCACACATACAAACAAAAATCAATTCGAGGTGCACTGTTGACGTTGATGTGAAAGGTAAAGCAATAAAGTGCATAGAGTATAACAGAAAAGGATACCTTTGTGACCTTGGGATGGGGAATGACTTCTCAAACAAAAATAAAACTGCATCAGCCTCAAAGGAAAAAAGTTCCTCAAAGGAACCATAAAAATTTTGTTCAAACAAAACATAAAAATTTTGTTCAAACACACCATTCAAAGAATGAAAAGTCAAGTCACAGAGTCAGAAAGTATGTGCAACATCTGTAACTGCCAATGGGCACTTGTGCAAAAATACAAAGAGAATTAGAAATCAACTTTTAAAAGACAACTGAATAGAAAAATGGGCAAGGGATTCACAAAAGGCATCCATATAACCCACAAACACACAAAAAGTTGCTAGACCTTATTAGTAATAAGGGAAATGCAAGCACAAAACACAGTCCACATCTGTCAACAAATGAATGGCTAAAGATGTGGTATATATACATAACGGTATATTATTCAGCCACGAGAGAGAAAGAAATCCTACCATTTGGAGGAACCTGGATGGGCCCTGAGGGTACTATGCTCAACAAAATAAACTAGACAAAGAAATACTATATGATCTTGCTTACACGTGGAATCTAAAAAAGCCAGACTCAGAAAAAGAGTGTAGAGTGGTGGTTAGCAGTGGCTGGAGAGTAGGGGAAATGGGAGATGCTGGACAGAGGGCATGGACTTCCAGTTATAAGATGAATAAATTCTAGCAAACTGCTGTACAGCACTGGTGATGACAGCTAATAATACTGTATTATATACTTGAAAGTTGCTAAATGAGTAGATCTTAAATACTCTCACCACAAAAAAATTGTAATTATGTAGCGTGATGGAGCTATCTGCTCATGTTATGGTGGTAGTCATTTTGCAATGTGTAAGTGTATCAAAATTGGCCTGCTGTATATCTTACACTTGAACAATGTTATATGTCAATTATATCTCAATAAAGCTGGGAGGGGGGAATCCCACAATGTGTAACTACCACATACCTACCAAAATAGCTAACTTTTAAAACACTCTCGGTAGCTAGTACTGGAGAGAACACGGGAGCGACTGGAACTGCCACACGGCGTTGTACTACTACTTTGGCAAACTGTATTGATCTACTATAGTTTCACGCCTGGGGATCTATACAATGAAAATGTATGCACATAAACACTAAAGAGACACTAAAAGAGACATAAAACATAAACACTAAAAGAGACAGTGACCAGGAGGGAACACAATGGGGGCTTTTGGGAGTCCTATTAATGGCCTGTGTCTTGACTTTGGTGACAGTTACATAGGTGAATTCACTTTGTGATCATTCATCAAGCTCTACCCTTAAGCTTTGTGCACTTTTCTGAATGTAGGGTATACTTCAATAAAAGAGTTAAAATATTTGCTCAGATGTGAACAGGTGTGTGTGGGGGGGTATGCCACATGCCAATAAAATCTTCCAAGGGTCTGCTAATCCAGTGATCTCAGTTTTACTTCAGTTACCCCAAGCCTCATGAGAAAGTTTGAAAATCTTTATTCTAATGGTATCTTGTCACCAAAAATGGAATACAAAAGCAAAGATATATTCAGTTCTAGTTCAGACACTTGTTTTCAAAGAAAAATTGGACTGGGACTATTTTGTGTATTGATATAAGGGATTAATAATATTGCTCTGACCTGTTAGAAAGAT